ACTTGCCTGTCAGTTTGCTTTACTGGGTTGACTTGCATGTTAGTATTATGTTACTTATTTTATAGTTTGTGCATGTGCCTGTTATAGTGTGGTCTTATGGGTACAGCATTTGTCTGACAGTTTGCTGTACTGGGGTGACTTTACGCATTATTAAAATGCTAGCAGCTTTCCACCAGTATTTCAAATAGCAGAACGATCACCCATGGTAGACAATTTAAATGGAGAAGAAACAGGACTGGCCATTCACTTGTGATGTAACAAGTCTTGAAACTCACATGAGTAAGAGAGGAATACTATTACATAGTATCATAAATAGGGCCACTCAGATTGGAAGGCACTCAAAAAGTGGGGAGAAATAGTTCTAACATCCATTAGTAACTGGAACATGGAATGTATGAAATAGGAATCCAGGAATTGGAAATTATAAAAAATGAAACAGAATTTATAAAGATCAGCATAGCAGGCATGAATGAGATGAGATGTACTAGTACTGGACTTTTTAAATAAGACACCCACATCATCTATTATGCTGGGCTGAAAAATTGAAAAGGAATGCTGCTGCATTCACAGTAAAAAAAAAACAACAAAAGGACATTTAAAGATATATCCTATGCATACCCATGTTCATTGCTGTGTTGTTCACAAAGGGAAGGAAACAACCCAAGTTCCCATCAACAAATGAATGGCTAGAGATTCTGTGGTATATTCATATAATGAAATACTATGCAGCACTGAAAAACAAGGGACTCGTACAAAATAGGTGACGCTGGAGGACATTAGGCTTTGTGAAATATCTGTCACAAAAAGACAAATACTGCATAATGCCACTGTTATAAAACAGGACTGACAATGAGGGCTGGAGGAAACTAAGAAAAGAGGGAGTAAATAATGAAAACTGCACTGGAACAGATGAAGGAAAGAATTGTTTAAAAGGAATGGTTAGGCATTATTTGAATGACAACAACCGGGAATAAGAGGGACATGGTGGGTAGGGAGGAAAATGTGCAACAATGGATCCAAGTTTTCGGTAAACTTTTGTTAAAATCACAACAAAAAAAAGTATAAAAAAGTATAGTGATCAAGGATATGAACATGCATGGCTAAGCACAATTGATAACAGTGCATCTAAATTGCAAAATCAATCTCCATAACAGTCTACGTGTTTCCTATTGCCAAAGGGGCCCTTTAGAGTAGTGAGAGAAGATCTTCACCCTGAAACCCACAGCGTCCCTTTTCAGCAGGAAGTAGCTAAGAGAATACGCCATCCCCTTTTCCTTATGAATCAGGGTGAAGTCTCTCTCAGGGAGGCATGATAGCGAATGGCAAAGGACGCACTGACAAAGGAGATTAATCAGAACTGGCTTTGACAAGCACTGTGGAAATGGACAATTAAAACAGACTTTCAAGTGGAAAAAAAAAAGAGGAACGAACTGGGGGGGAGGGTAGAGAAAATAGTGCAACAATGAATGAATGGAAACCCAAAATCTCTGTAAATGTTCATTAAAATTAATAAAATTTAATTAAAAAAAGTATAGTGAAAGATACACACACATACACATATATATATATGAAGTTCAATGCTGTGATAGGATACTGTGCATAAACATACAAGGAAAACCTGTTAATACAACCATTATTTAAATATATGCACCAACTCCTAAAGCTGATGATGAAGAAATTGAGGATTTACCCAATTTTTCAAACTGAATTTATATAAATTACATAAATATATGTAATCTAGATGTATCAATAATTGGTGACTGGAATGAAAAATTTTGAAACAGGAGTATTGGTAGTTGGAAAAATATGGCCTTGGATACAGAAATGAGGCTGGAGATTGCATGATAGAATTTTATACAATGACTTCTTATTTGCGTATATTCTTTTCAAACATCAGAAACAATGATTATACACATGGACTTCACCTGATGGACTACACAGTTGACAGATTAACTACATCTCTGGAAAATGTGGATGGAGCAGGTCAACATTAGCAGTCAAAACAAGGCCAGGAGCTAACTAAGGAACAAACCATCAATTACTCATGAGCAAGTTCAGATTGAAGCTGAAGAAAATGAAAACTAGTCAAGAATCAAAATATGACCTTGAGTCAATCTCACTCAAAATTTAAAAACAATTTCAAGAACAGATTTGATGCACTGAACACTATTTACTCAAGAACAGAAGAGTTGTGCGGTATCAAGGACATCATCCATGAAGAAAGCAAAAGGTCTTTACAAAGATAGAATGACCTAAATGGATATCAAAAGAAACTTTGAAACACATACTAAAACATCAAGAGACGAAAACAAAGACAAATGCTGAACAGGAGATTTTTAAAGAGTTGCTCAAAAAAACAAAACAAAGTATTGAAATCAAATGTGCAAAGAGCTGGAGTCAGAAAACCAAAAGGAAGAGCATGCTCAGCATTTCTTAAGCTGAAAGGCTAAAGAACAAATTTAAGACTTGAGTTGCAATATTGAAGGTATCTACTGGCAAATCTTGAATTATGTAAGAATCAAAAGAAGATGGATGTAATACACAGTGTGACGGTACCAAAAAAGAACTGGTAGACACTCTAACACTGCAGGAAGTAGTATATGATCAACAACCAATGATAATGAAGTTCAGGCTGCACTGAAGGCATTGGAAAAAAAATATGGACCCAGGAATTTATGGAATACTAATTGATGTGTTTCAACAAAAAGATGTAGCCCTAGAGGTGCTCACTAGCCTATGACAAGACATTTGAAAGACAGTCACATGGCCCAAGTGACTGGAAGAGATTCATATTTGTTCCCATTCTAAAAAACAGTGATTCAACAGACTCAAAATTATCAAACAATATCATTAATATTTTAAGCAAGTAAAATCTTGCTTAAGATTATTTTTTAAAATGGCTTGACTGGTACACTGAATTTCTGAAATTCAAGCTGGATTCAGGTGCTGTGGCAACAGGAATATCATTGCTAATTTGAAAGGAGAGGCTGCCAAAAAGATACTTGCTTGTGTTTTATTAATTATTCAAAGACATTTGACTGTGCTGATCATAGTACTTTGTTAATAACAAGCTTTAAAATGAAAGGAAATCCAGAACACTTAATTGTGCTTGTTAGAAATTTATAGATTAGAAATAAAACAATAGAACAATTGATTTAAAATCAAGAAAGATGTGCATCAGGGTTGTATCCTTTCTCATACCTATTTTAATCCTTGGAGGCAATGATGATGCTTCATCTTACATAATTTGGGCATTTTGTTAGGAGAGGCTATTCCTTGGAAAGGTGAAAGGTCATCAAAAGAGAGGAAGACCCTCAACCAGAAGGATTGATAAGAGTGCTGCAATGGGTTAGAGTATATCAGAAATGATGAGGATGGCACAAGATAGGGCAGGGTTCAGATCTGTTGGTCATAGGGTCACTGAGTTGTACTTGACGTGATGGCACCTAACATCACCACCACATTATATGTGAACAAATAATTTGAAAAGCTGGACTATAAGAAAATGAATGTGCCACTGGGATTGGAGGAAGACTAATGAACAATCTGGATTATGTAAATGGCACAATTTTGCTTGTAGCATGTGAAGAACACTTGAAGCACTTGCTACAGAAGATCAAAAACCACAGCCTTTAATATAGTTCAGAACAAGAAATAAAAATATCCTTACCATTAGGCCAACAGAATACATGATGGAGAAAAGTTTGAAGTAACTAATGATTTTATTTTACTTGGACCCACAATCAATACCCATTATAACTGCATTCAAGAAATCAAAAGATGTGTTGCATAGGGAAAATCTGCTATAAAGGACCTCTCCAAAGTGCTGAAGAGCCGCGATTGTAGTTTAAAGACTAACGTGTACCTGATCCAAGCCATGGCATTTTCAATTGCTTCCCAGAAATCTGAAAGTTGCAACAATGAATAAGGAAGACGGAAGAATCAATCAATGAAATGTGATGTCCGTGAATAGTGAATAACCCATGGACTACCAAAAGAACAAACTCATCTTGTTTTGCAGGTCCAAAGTGCAACCAACATGCTTAGAGGCAAAACTTAAGTTTCACATACACTTGGGCATATTGCCAGGAGGGTCTATTTCTTGGAAAGATACCATGCTGTAAAAGGTGGAGGTTTGCAGAAGGAAAAGAAGATCCTTTACAAGATCAATTGACAAAGTGACATTAACAATGGGATCAAGTATAACAGAGATTTTAAGGATAGAACAGGGTTCGGATTTGTTGGGTTGCTAGGAGCTATAGTTGACCTGATGCCATTGGGTCACTTTGAGTTTTAGTTGATTTGATGGCACTGAACAACAATATTTACAATGTATTCCTATAATTTTCCTAGCGTTTTGCTACTATCAAATAGACAATATTGATGAGGATCTTGAGACAGTAAAATATTTTCTGTAAAAAAGAGAAGAATGTTAATATACCAGGAATCAAATAAGCTATATAGAGGGTATTATCAATGTTACTATGAATGGTGTGAACCATTTGTATAATAAAAAAGTGGAAGATGGCTTTATTCATTGGTTGTTACCTTGTCCCTTGGCTACTACTTTGGGACTTCATGCTATGAGAAGAGAATGAATTTATTTATTTATTTTTTAAATTTATTTATTGTGTTTGTACTGTCAAATCAGATCTGACTGGTACAGGAGGGAAATTTTCCCTCCTTCTCCGGCAGAGCATCTGGTGGATTTGAACCACGTACCTCTGGGATTGCAGTACAGCTTCTTGCCACTAGGCCACCAGAGCTCCCCTAGAATGAATTTATTTTTAAGAAACAGAGATTTTTAATAATCTTTAAAATTCTACCTTTCTTTGTATATGAATGGAATTGGTAACACCAAGTACTATATTACTCTCCTCCAGGCCGATTATGCTAGAGATTATTTCACATTTCCTCATATTGGTTTTATTTTCTCATATGAAATACAATACAGAATGCTGAATGTCTCTGTAGTTCCTAAATTTATGAATAATGCACACCTGAGGCAAATCATAAGTAGCACTCCTGGTTTCCATACAGAAGGGAGAATCTGAGTAAGGTAAGTCTTGAGAAAGATTCATGACATTCATGTCATCCGCTTCTGACATGCTTTATAAATTTTCTTGAGAAGTATCCACTTCAAAATGTTCACGATCCAATGGTAACGACCAAAATTGGTGACAGTCCTTATTTCTAAATGTGGGATGGATGCGAAACTTCTTTTAAAAAACCACAATTTTAACGCTTATCAGTATAAACAAATAAAAGCCTGTTTCCCCCATTTATCTTCATGTTATGAAAGCATCAGAGTTTATAACCCTCAAATTTAATGTCATTTGTCAAGTTATTGGAAAAAATAGTGTAGGTATACCATGGTAACTATAGTAGTAAAGATTAATTTGGACAAATCTCAAACCAAATCTACTGCTGTCTACTCAATTTTGATTCATGGTTACCCTAAAGAACAGACTAGAACTACTCTATAGGGTTACATGGGGTTAAATGCTTTACAGAAGCAGATTGCTACATCTTTCTCCTAGAATGATTTAGACAAAACCAAGTTAATTACTTAAGGCTTAGAATCCAGAGGTGCAGCGATCTCTCAGTTATTTAATCAAAAGCAGTTTACAGGATATTATCAGAAATCCACTGGTACTGTTGATTTGTAACTCATACTGACCCCATATGCTACAGCAGAATTACCCTATACAGTTTTCTAGGTTATTGTCTTTATTGCAGTGGACCACCAGAGCATTTGATTATTACACCACCAAGACTTCTTTCAAATTGAAAACAATTTAAAAAACTCCTTCATTGTTGTCTACTGGGAACCAACTCATGGCTGATTCTCTAGCCCCTGGGTTTCTGAGCCTGTAAATCACGATGGGGAGGATGTCAGTCATTCTTACTCTACCTAATGCACTACTGGATTCAAACTTGCAGAGAGGTATGGCCTTTGGGTTAGCAGTACCACTCTTTAAGGACTAGGCTACCAGAGTTCCCTAGGGCTCCTTGGTAGTTGTTAGGTGCCACTGAGTTGACTATAACTCATAGCGACCCTGTCCTGTGCTATCTTCACCATCTCTGACATACTCAAACCCACTGTTACCATCTGTGTGGTAACCCATCTTGTTAAGATTGGAACTCTTTCAGTTCCATAAAACACTGTATTTCTATTTGATACTATTTAAAACTTCACTGCCATGTCCAATATTGCAAATAGTTTTTCCTCCTCATCTTTCTGGTCTCTCAGACACTTGGTTTTGAAAATATGCAGATATTGTCATTGGTTTCCTTCTATATCTCTCAAATTGCCAAGAATTGGTAACTGAATAACATCCAGCATATTCAGTTTTGTTAATGTCTTCTTTTGAAATTTACTCCTGATCTCAGGTTTGCTAGGAGATGGTAACAGAAAAGGTCTCCAATCACATTAAATTCTGCTATGCTTTAGATGCTGTTGGTACGTACAGTCAAGTTGAAATTGATCCACAGCTGACCCTCTGGCGGGTTTTCAGAGGCAGTTAATCGCATGAACCTTGTGCCTTTGGGATTGCAACGCAGCTTCTTGCCATTAGGCTACCAGAGCTGCATCTTCTCTTCACACCTTTTCAATCTATATGCAGATCAGATAACTTGGGAAACAGGGCTTTATGAGGAGGAGTGTGGCATAAGAATTGGAGGAAGCCTCATCAACAACCTACATTATGCAGGTGACACAACCTTGCTTACTGAAACTGAGGCCAACCTGAAGTGCTTGCTGCAGGTCAAGGACTGTAGTCTTCAATATAGATTGAAGCTCAACATCATGAAGACAAAGATTCTCACCACTGGGCCAATTGGGAGCACCATGAAAGATGATGAAGAGGTTGAGGGGGTTAACAATTACAGCTTGCTTAGCTCCACAATCAACACTCTTAGCACCAGCAGTCAGAAAATTAAAAGACAAATTGCATTAGGAAAATCTGCTGTCAGGGACCTCTCCAGAGTACTGAAAAGCAATGATGTTAAGTCTGAAGACTAAGGTGCGCCTAATCCAGGCCATAGTCCTTGCAATGACTTGCTACACATCGGAGCTGCACAAAGGTCAAGGACGACAGAAGAACTGACGCCTTTGTATTGGGGTGCTGAAGAAGAGTCTCGACCATGGACTGCCAAGAAAACAAATTGGTCTGTCTTGGAGAGGGTGAAGACAAGTCTCTCCTTGGAGACTAGGATTTTTGAAGCTCTGTCTGACATACTTCAGTCACGTGGCCAGGAGAGACTGGTTCTTGAAGGACATCATGCTTGGAAAGGTGGAGGGACAATGAAGGAAAGGAAGACCCCAGATCAGATGGATTGGTACAGTAACTGGGGGGGAAACAGTGGTTGGTGTTTCACAATTAGTGAGATTGACTCAGGACTGGGCAGGCTTCAGAGATACAGTACACAGGGTCGCAGGCAACTCAATGGCACTTAACAATAACAACAACAACAACAACAACAACGCTTTTGATAGCTTGGACTCACATTGTCTATCCAAAACCACTTTCCTTTTTCTACATGTTCTGAGCAAGGTATTGGGAGGGGCCTCTCCTTAGAAAATGAAATCATGCTGGGAAAGGCAGAGAGAGGGTCAGTCAGAGAGAATTAAGATCAATCAAGATGTAGATCGACTGTAACCATAGGCTTGAGTGTAGCAGAGATAGAGATGATCCAGGATAAGGTAAGGTTCCACTCTGTTATTCATAGGGTCTCTAACAACATTCTTCTGATACATATCATACTTCTTACTGCTTCAGCAATCTGCTGATTGTAATACTCCTGAAATTTTTCCAGTTTCTGTTAGTACTCACAATGAATGCTGATGTTTCTTTAGTCTCTTAAGTATTTTACAATTTAGCACTTATCTATGAACTGTCTTCATCTCCACCTTAAGTTATTTAGCTTATTAAGCTCCTTGCAATGAGTCAATGATTACTCAGTATTAAGATAGCAAACCAACCAGTGTAGCTCACATAGTAAATAATAAATTGTCCTTCAATGATTTGATATATTCTCTTAATTTGCAGTCACTACCCATTTGCCTAATTATTCAGTTTGCTTAAGGTTAACTGTTTTCAAATGTATGATTATCATTTAGTAAATTATTAAGACCAATAAATCAAACAACCTAGGCAGGATTAAGGCCTACCTTCTGTCTATCTTCTAAACACATTAGGATTACTGGATTACGGGAAAACAGAGTTGAAAAATCCCGTTCTAGTTTCCAAACACAAACTAGGAAGTGACCTTATTTCTTAAAATTTTGTCAACTAAGAATTTCTACTTACACGTTTACAACTTTGCTCATTTCTCATATGGCACTGTACAATCTACCAATTGTCTTAAAACGTTAAATTTGGTTTTCCCGTTTGTCTTTACTAGCTTTTTTTTAAAAAATTATTATTATTTGTGTGTATATCGTCAAATCAGTTCTGACTGGTACAGGAGGAGATTGCCCCTCCTTCTCCAGCAGAGCATCTGGTGGATTCGAACCGCTCACCTCTGGGAAAGCTTTTTAAAATTTATTCATCAAATGTGTGGGTAGTGTATCCAGACATTCTACAACTGCTTTAAGATACGCGATAGTGTATCACCAGAGTTACAGGCAAAAATCTCAAATTATTTTGTTTGCGGGATGTTTTAATTCTAAAAATGGCATTACTTTTATAGCATTTATCGAATTTTCACCTCAAAATAACGCACTAAAACTTCGTAAATCACAAAGGTGCTCACTTCCAGGTTCCATAGGGTTTCTTGAGTCTACAGTAGGAATTTCGTGCTCTCTTCCAGGGCACTGAGTTTTGCACGAAGGACAGTACTTTCCAAACCTTTACAGGAATGCCTTTTACAAAAGCGCGGTTGGGATCCAGAAGATTTAGAACCAGTCAGCTGTGACGTATCCCCGAGCTCAGCCAAACACGTCCATGAGAGACTGCCGTTAGATTCCGACACCCTTACGGCCGATCCTTGCGCGTGCATACGATCCCGCTGAACCACCTGAGCCTTTCTGCAGACGGAAACACAAAATGAGGTGCAAAACAAAGTCCCTACACATGCTCAGAAGGGGCAGGCGACTCAGTACATTCATCGCACTGTCAAACGAAACCGTCCCCCGCCTCAGGGAACAAGTTATTGTAAGTATTCGGGCGGGGGGCGGGACTTCCGCCGGAGGGAACTTCCGGAAAGCTGTTTTTCCGGTTGGGGCACGGTTTCCGGTAGGGGCGGGCCGGAGAGGCTGTGGATCTTGTTCTATCACGACACGTGGTCGTAGTTGGTGTTGTATCTGCTGGGCGGCCAGACAGGCCGGGGTTTCGGGAGAGGTGGTTGGATCGGCCACTGGTGAAGCGATCTCTGTACTGTACTGTACTGTACTGTACTGTACTGTACTGTTCTAGGATAGACTCGGCAACCTCTGGAATTGCCGGGGCTTGCCGCGTTTCTGCCATGGACTACCGGCGCATGTTGATGAGCCAGGTCATCCCGGGGCAATTTGACGATGCGGATTCCTCCGATAGGTGGGCACACTAGTTTTGTCCAGATTCTGCTCTCTCCATTGCCTCCCCTTGACGAGAATTGTCTTCTTTTGGTCGCGAGATTTGATGGGCGTCAAGGCCTCTTTCACAGCTGCATCTGCCGCCGTTTACTGGAAGGTTAATGAAAACCACTTGTTAGCGATGTCCAGGGTCTTTGGGTTTGTAAGCATTGCTGAGCGGGCATAAGGTTTGAGAAAGTAGAGGTGAGGCGTTGCGGGAGGGGGGTTGTGCTTTAAACTACGTTTGCTCTGCAATCCGATCGTGCAGACACAGCACCTGCTGTGTATCAGGACTTGATCAGGGCGCTGAAGCTAATGCACAGGAGAACCAAGTCTTTGCCACCGTTTGCTGCTCACTTGGGTGTTAGGGCTGAAATGAGAAGAGAGGCAAGTACTTACATTTTCAAAACGAGACTATGGAACATATTATGCAAATAATTATAGATTATAATAACTAGTGACGGAATGTTTACATTATTTATTTACACATGAGTGAACGGAAGTCCTTAAATAAGATGTTAAGTGGACAGAAATAGCACACCCAATGTAGCTGGATAATGGTAATGAGAGTGCACTGATTTGCTGTCCATCACTGAATATTGTGAAGACTAACCAGTAACCTTTCACTTAGGTTGTGCTCTGAGGGGACTTTTCGCAATCTCTAGAAACCTTTGGTTATCACAGTTGACTGTATTTGTGGTCAGAAGCCAAGGATGCTACTGAACACTCTAAAAGGCACAACACAACCCCTTATAATTATTTGGCTAAGGTTGAGAAGCTCTGGTACAAATGAATTTCCAAGTTTAGTACACCACTCTGTTTTTGGTAACTGAGGATAGATTTTTAAGGTGCAATGAAAAAAAAAAGTCTCAGCAATCTCTCTTCATTTACCAATAACAGAGTAGTGTATTAAAGTTACAACTTCATTTGTAAAAATTCTCACCACTGGACTTAGTGGTACTTCATGGTAAATGGAGAAGAAACTGTCAACCACTTCATCTTACTTGGATCCCTTGTTACCAGCAGTTCGGAGTTCAGGAGATGTCTTGCACTGGGAAAATCTGCATTTAGGGACCTCTCCAAATTATTGAGGAGCAATGATGTCATTTTGAGGACTTAGTCGCACCTTATTTAGGTCATGGTCTTTTCAGTCACTTGCTGTGCATCTGTGAGCTGGACAATGAATACGGATGACAGAAGAATTGATGCCTTTGAGCTGTGATACTGCAGAGAGTACCGAATATCTCACAACAGTCTAAAAGAGCAAACAGATATGATTTGGAGAAGGTGCAGCCAGAATGCTTCTTGGAGACAAAGATGATAAAGCTTTGTCTTAAGATACTTAGGGTATATTCCTTGTGGTAGTGGTATACCACAAAGTTAGAACCAACCCATAGCTAAACCCTCTGGTGGGATTCAGAGGCAATAAATCACACAGGAGGAGATTGCCCATTCTTCTGTGGAGCAGCTGGTGTTTGCAACACATTTCTTGCTGCTAGGCCACCAGAGCTCCCTTGGGCACGTTGCTAGGAGAGATTATTCCTTCCTTGGAGAGAGGCATCATGCTTGGAAGTGTAGATAGTTGGTGAAAGAGAGGAAGACCCTCAAGGAGATGGGTTGATACAGTGACTGAAGCAATGGACTTGAGTATGTCAGAGATGATAAGGCTGGTACAGGATAGGACGGGCTTCAGAACTGTTGGTCATAGGGTTGCTGTGAGTCATACTTGACTTGATGGCACCTAACAATAGCAGCAACAGGTTAGGTTTAAGCTAGTTTAGATTTAAGGCTTATGCTTATGAAATTCTAGTCAATATCAGATGTTTAGTAACAGTTTGTTCTCAGCACACTTCTGGGAATTCAGACCCCATTGTAGTTGTTAGGTTGAGTGGACTACAATTCATAGCATCAAACAATAGATCAGAATCTTGCCCTATCCTGTGACATCTCACGGTCTCTGCCATGTTTGAACTGTGTCAATTCATCTTAGGGAGAGTTTTCCTCTTTTTCATTGACTCTGCTTTTCCCAGAATGATGTCACCCATGGTAGACAGGTTTCATCGGAGCTTCTAGATTAAGACTGTGACACAGTGCTGGCTATCCACTTCTGAAATAATAGGCCTCTGAAAACACTGTGAATAACAGGAGCCCTTTGAGACCTGACTAATTAGTAGGTTGGGATTGATAAATGACTTAAATTTATGCCTGATTGTAACTGCAGTGGATATCTTCAGTTATTATTATGTAGTTCCTGTGTTTTGTTAGTATATATGGCTTCAAAGTAGTATTTGAATATGGCCTGCACACGTTTTTTTTTTTTGTTTTTTTGGAATTCAGATGCACTCTTATTGATTGTGCTTGGCTGTACATGTACATATCCTTCAAGATGTATCATGGGGGTGTTGCAACCTAGAAGGCACAAATTTGACTAACAAGTTATAAGTACATGAGTCCAAAAATTATGGAAAAGTAAAAGAAAAGATTCTTTCATTGTTTTACAAACACTCCCCCAGGTCCCCTCCACCATGCAGCCCTCGCTCTAGTCTCCTGTGATGACAGAAATACCCAGTTACATCTCTCTTTTAGACGGTTCTCTCCCTCCTCTGTTTCAGTGCAGTATACATTATTGAACCCATCTTACTCAGTCTCTCCCCAACCCCAAGGACAGTCCCATTCTACAACAGTGGCATCATGTAATATTTGTCCTTTTGTGACTGGGATATTTCACTCAGCATAATGTTCTCCAGAGTCAACCATTTTGAATAATATTGCATGAGTTCCTTGTTTTTTAATGCAGCATAGTATTCCATTGTGCGAATATACCACAGCTTCTCTAGCCATTTGTTTGTTGATGGGCACTTAGATTGTTTCCAACTCCTTGCTATTGTGAACAAAGCTGCAATAAACATGGGTGTGCATATATCTGCTTGGATGTCAGCTATGGTCTCTTCAGGGTATATTCCCAGTAGTGGAATTGCTGGGTCAAATGGTATCTCTATTTGCAACTTTTTGAGAAAGCGCCATACTGCTTTCCGCAGGGGTTGCACCATTTTACACTCCCACCAACAGTGAATCAGGGTTCCAGTTTCTCCACAACCTCGCCAGCATTTGTTGCTTGCTGTTCTGTTAAATTTTGCTATTTTGACTGGGGTGAAATGATATCTCATAGTTGTTTTAATTTGCATCTCTCTTAGGGCTAGGGATTTTGAGCATTTCTTCATGTGTTTGTTAGCCATCTGAATGTCGTCTTCGGTGAAGTGCCTGTTCATATCCTGTGCCCATTTTTCTATTGGATTATTTACCTTTATCTTGTTGTGGTGCTCAAGTATTTCATAAATTCTGGATATAAGTCCCTTATCTGATATGTTATTACCGAATACTTTTTCCCAGTCAGTGGCTTCCCTTTTTACCCTACTGGAGAAGTTTTTGGATGTGCATAGGGATTTGAGTCTTAGAAGGTCCCATTCATCTATGTTATCTTCTCCTGGTTGTAGCTTTTCCAGGATACTGGGAAGACTGTTTATGTTGTGGATTAGGACTTCTAGTGTTGTTCCTAGCTTTTCTGTAATGAATTTCATAGTCCTTGGTTTTAGTCCTAGGTCCATGATCCACCTTGAGTTGGTTTTTGTGTATGGAGTGAGGTGTGGGTCTTGCTTGAGTCTTTTGCAGATATTTTTCCAGTTTTGCCAACACCATTTGTTAAAAAGGCTGTCGTTCCCCCACTTCACTGATTTCATCTCCTTGTCAAAGATCAGTTGACCATAGATAGATGGGTTGATCTCTGGATTCTCAATTCGATTCCATTGATCTATGTGTCTGTCATTGTACCAGTACCATGCGGCCTGCACACGTTTATATGTGAAATGTTTCATGAAAATTGACTATACTAGTAGATTTTAAGTGGGAGGTTCTACATAAAAATACAGATTATGGCATCTGTTAGAAAACTAAGAGGGTGCAGTGACACCGTCTGAAATCTCACATGGCAAAAAAACATCCTACTAGTTATAGTTTTTGTTTCCCCTGAGCTTGTTCTCATTCTGACAGTCCCATTTGTGCCTTCAACACTGTCTACTTGACTAGTGCTTGTCTCTACGTTAACCTTGCCGTTCCTTCGTATAATACATCTCATATAACATTCCTGTAACAGGCATATCTCTTGCTGATCCACAGTGAGATTGATTTCAGCTAAGACTGTCTTTACCTTACTTTTGTTATTACTATTATCAAAAAACTTTCTTCCCTGTGACCTCTTAAAAAAACTCTGGGAATGATTTTCCTAGAGTTGAGTTCATGTGTACAGATTAGAGAAAATTGAAGATAGAAAATCTTCATTAAGGCAGAGCATATTTAACAGTTGATGCATTCCTTCCCTAGTAAAATTTCAGTGTGGAGAATAAGCTGACATCTGTAGCAGAATTCTTAAAAAAAAGAACAGTTTGTTATTAAGAAAATTTAGCTTGTTGGGGAATATGTTTATTAAGGCACCTCTTAGATTTGTTTGTATTATAAGTAATTTTTTATGTGTGTTTAGACCGTGTAAACATGTCAAAATGTTGTTATTTCTAGTGAAAACGTGCACTTGAAGACAGCCAGAGAGGAAGATGTTGTTTCACTTGGAGACCTTAAAAATAAGAATGAAGACGAGATAGAAGAGGAGGAGGATGAGGAGGAAGATTATGATGAAGATTGGGACTGGGATGATGGAATTGCAAAACTTACTAAGAGTTGTGCATTGAATAGAGGGAGTAACCCTCAGGTATCTTCTTTGTGATCATTTATGTCTTTGTTGCTCTGGTGGTGTCCATAGATTGCCACACCGCTAACCCAAAAGCGGTCCCTCTGGTATTTGAATCAACTAGCTGCTGCTTAGGAGAAAGACATTTGTATCCTCTGCATTTGTATCCGTGCATTTGTATCCTCTGAAATCTGACTGGACGGTCAACTAAGAGTTGGTCCCAGCTTGAGACAATGAGTTTTGATGTACATCTTTTAGTTTATCTCTCGTTTTCTAAAAACGATGTTCACTGAAGCCTTCTCACTGATGTAGTTCTGGAGTAACTACAGTAGCTGTAAGTATTTTTACTTTACAGCTTATATTGCCCATTAGCTTCAGCCTTTATTTTTTTTACTCTTCTGTTGGTTGTCACCTTTTTTTGATAATTTCTTGTTTGTACATTTTGTCTATAATCAACTTAAAGGAGTTGTTTAAACTACTGAAATGAAGATCTTAAAATTGACTAGGAAAGGCAGAGATGCAGTTCAGTACAAATGCTTTAAGAAAAGGCTCCAACTTTATTTATAATTAAAGAAATTCAGAATAATTGTGTAGAGATAAACTTTTTAAAAATGAGAAACTGAGGTCACAAAATGTATCGTTGGTGACCAACTGAATAAGTAGAGTGTCAATAAAAACACCCCAGACTGACAAACTCTGACTCAGCAGTTCTGGAACTATGTCATGGGGGTTAGTTGCAAGAATGATCATCCATTAAGTATTGTTAATGGTGGAGGAACATCGAAATGAGCCAATGTCCCAGCAGTGGCAAATTGATTAGATTTCCTGAAACTGATGATTCACTCAAAAGGATATTATGCAATTACAGAATATGATACAGTTAAAGATTTTACCATCCTCCACCATGTTACCCAGCTTCATAGAGTGTACTTCTCATATGGGAAGTACTGAGCGTGTAAAGGGTTTCAGAGCCAGAGGATTATTAATACCCATATTCATGAAGCAGAAAAGTTAAAGATGTGGGTAGGGGGAAGAACTTTTTTGGATCTTAAAGCACTTTTCTCATGGGCTAGAATGTGAATTTATAGACTAAAGAAAATTTATCTTTGTAGTTTAACTTTGCTAACTCTTCTGTTGGTTTCTTTTGAATAAGTTCAGTCTAAAGTGTAATTCTTTAAAAAAATGAAAGACTAGAGAAATGACTAGAAGTCTAAATGTTAACTATCTGTGTGCTGGGGTAGTAGGTGATTTTTAAAATAATTCTTGGTGGCCTGAGTTCCCACAAGAGGCAGAACCAAGGTCCCACTCCCAGTGGAGGCAAAGCCAGAGTCAGTGCAGGTAGTTTCCATCACCACCCCCAGTGGTTCAAAGCCTAAATCTGTTTTTGCCAGTCATAGGAAGCAGGTTCCTGATTGAATGGTCCATACAAGAAGATAAAGCTGAAATAGAAAAGAATTACAAGACAACCTTGCTGACTAGCCTTCATGAGACTCACAAATAACAAAATGTCTTTTTAGATGTTAATTGAGGCTTCAGTTGTTATTTTTAAGATTGTGATCTAAAATGTTAAGAATTAGGGGGAAAAAACCCAAACCCACCAAAATAGAAAAAAAAAAATGTTTCTTGGCTTTGTTTTTCTACCATGAATATAATTTTACAGATATTTTAAAAGTTAAATTTAATACACTATTAAAAGTTCTTTACAAAGAAGAGCTCAGCCTCACTGTTCCATGCTGAGATAATAGGATTGAATTAGTAGCTACCTTAGATCCTTTGGTTTATGATTCTGGATGTCACTTTCACTTTCTTCCATTTTTACCATTATTTTGGTTTGTGTATGGTACCACTGCAAGAGCTGAAACCTTATTTTTATGCTTTCCCTTTTTCCTTCTAAGTCTAAAGTAAAATTCTTAGAATTATTTTTAGGTAACTTAAGCTGTTATACACTTGGGGGAGGGCTATGTGTAAATCAGCAAATGTTGCTTTGAGTTTTATTAATTGGGCAAATAAAAATATAGATTTAATTTTAAATTATTTATGATGTAGGTAAGAAACATTGTAGCTAGGCAAAAATTACAGGATTTTTGTTTCCTCTGTTGTAAGCCAGCAACTTTATAGTATTCAAATGCCTTTTTTTTTAAAAAAAGCAAGTTTGATTGATTCTTATCTTTCTTAGGGTATGCTTAAATGTTAATATATAGCTAATGCGTTAAATATGAAAATAGGATAATACTCTCACTCATTGATTGCTGTCAAGTTAGAATTGACTCATACCTGATCCTCCAGGGGGTTGTCAAAGGCTGTAAATTGCATAAAGGAGATTGTTCATCTTTTTCCTGCAGAGTAGCGGGTGGATTCGAATCACTTGCCTTTAGTTGGTAGTGCAATGCCTTACCTGCAAAGCCATCAAAAGCTTCTAAAAAGGATAAACAGTTGTGTTTAAATATAAACTAAGAGGTAGAAAAATGACAAACCTTGGATTTTTAATTGCAGTTGTTGCTTTAGACTTTATAATTGTTTCTTTTAGGCAAATCAACGGACTCCAAATTGCAGTTCTGCCAGAATGTCTACTCCTTCAGCCAAGGTCTTACAGAAATTTGAGAATAAAGCAAATCTAGGTAAGTTTATAAAGTATGTTATCTCACTGGGCTGGGTGGGATATTTTAAAAGCCATAGAAGTATTAAGAAATGATAATTCAAGTGTTGCTGACTGAGTGATGCTTAAAACCTTTTAGTGTCTTCAGGGAAACGTTATTACCTGTTTGTGTTAAATTTTAAAGTAGAATTGAAAATTCTAGGTTAAAGTTCTTTTTTTGTTTAGACTTTTTGGTGTAGATGTGAGCTAGTAACCAAGCAAAGAAACACATGCTTTCTCTGAGATCTGCTCTTACTGAAGTGGATCTATGATGAAAATAGCCAAATCTGAGTGTCAGAAGACTGTCCAGTCTATCTGATGCATGATCTCTATAGTTCTGGGAAGCAATAATAGAAAATAACTTAGAACACTTATGTCAGCTGTGTGTGTTTAAATGTGTGTGTCTGTGTGTGTGTGTGTGTGTATGTGTGTTGATAAATATGATGGTGGGTAACTGAGGAATTGGCTGCTTAAGCATGGGGGGGTGAGGAAGTGAATGGGGGGTGTGTGTCTGTGCACGCATGTGTGCAATGACTCCAATCTGAGCAATGATGAAAAAGTTTAACTACTGACCTTTATAATTATGAAGGTTTCTACACTTGATCTGAGCTCAAAAAAAAAAAAAAAAAAAAGAAACACATGCTGATGTGAAACCCTGCACCTTGAGAAGTGCAAGGTCATCTTTCATCTGTGGAGCTGGACTCCTTATGAACCTAACAAGAGTAACTCATATATGGTATCAACAAATACTGATTCATGAGTGTGGATATTATGTGAAGTGCCGTCATGTTGGTACTGACTCATAGGTGACCCTCCAGCGGGATTTCAGAGGCTCTAAATTATATAGAAGAGTGCCTGTCTTTCTCCCAAAGAGAAGCTGGTATATTTGAACCCTCTATCACTGGGTTTGAATACAGCTCCTTACCACTAGGCCCTCAGGGCTCACTGTGGGTAATTTAGGTTTTTCATTGTATGTCATGAACCTATAATTTGAAATGAAGTGGAACTTTTTAAAATTTAACCTGGAATTTTTGTATATTGGCTGTATAAAATTTTATTAAGTGTCTGAAATACAATATATGCAGATAAAGTATTTTTCAGGAATTTCTTCGGCTCAAAAATTATAACTAGTGATGAAAGTAAAACAAGTGACTCTACCCAAGAAGATATGTGTGTACTTTTTTCCAAAGCAGTGAATTACTAAAATATATTCTGTTTATATGTAAGAATAAAGAAAAGGAGGAAGGATAAAGTTTCTTATTCAGACTGTTAATACCTTTTTTGTCTTACGTATTTCTTGTAATTTTTTTTTTTTTAGATAAACTCAATGTTACAGATTCTGTCATAAATAAAGTCACTGAAAAATCTAGGCAAAAGGAAGCAGATATGTAAGTAATATTTTAACTGTAAGCCATGGTCCTTAGGCAGTGATTTTAGATAAGTAGTACCTTAGTCATAATTCTTGTGCATTAGACTGTCAATTTGTTTTCTTAGATTATCAATTTGTATTCTTAGATCCTCTTGCTTTTTAGATTATGTACCGTTGTAAGTTGAAAATACTGAGTTCTCTTAATATATTAATATGAATAGATTTCTGTTTAAACAGAAATATTTGAATTGAATGTTATAAAAGTGCACCCTTTTGAGAATTTATTAAAATTGTCTCCAAACATACAGTATTTTTTTCAAATTCAAGGGAAAACTGACAACTGTTTCCATTTTCACTCTGTTCTCAAAGCCAGTAGTTTTAAGGAATAGCTTACTTTGCATAGATGCTGATAACACTAGTTAACAATGTAAGAAATGTCAATTAACATATATCTAGCAGTGTTAGAACCGAAGTTTAAAACTAATTTTTTTTCTGGCTTATTACTATTATATTAGAGATAAAAGCTTTTAAAGAAATACCATCGTTACTGTTATATGCTGTCAAATCGCTTGGACTTGTAATTTGTTATTTCACCTAAGTTTCTTACTTGTTTATATTTTTGGCTTTAACAGAAGTTTATCTTTTTATATTTTTCTTTTTTTGTCTGGAAGTGTGGATTAAGGGTACTTACTCTAGGAGAAGGCTTTGTCTTTATTTTGGGTCTGGAAAAGATCCTTAGCCCAAATGTCCAACCACAGGTAAATGGATTGAGAAATTATGGTACATTCACACAATGGAATATTACACAGCACGCAGGAGCAATGATAGCATTGGAGAGCATTATGCTGAGTGAACTAACCCAGTCCCACAAGTATAATATTGTATAAAATCATTATTGTTGAAATGAGTATAAGGTTCCAGGAGGGATGGGAGAGGCTGGAAGCAGAGGGATGTGGATGTGCAGGGGAAGGGGGGAATTAATCATCAGGTTGCACAATTTAATGGGGGTGGGTGAGGAAAATTGAAATAATTTGTTTGAATTTGTACACAAATTTTGTAAATAAACTAGTAGAAAAGGGAAAAAAAAGATTCAGGGAGATATATAAGGAATGCTGGGCCTACAGATAAATGCTGAAAAGAGATAAGGACCTTTTTCAAGACCCCAAATAAAGAGAAGTTTCCTTTTTAAATGATTGCACTATTGCAGTCTGTTTAGGTTAGTATGCTAGATTGTTACTTTTTGAGTGAGCTGAAGCTAATCAGACTCTCATGAAATAACAAAAACATAAAACCAAAACACTGTCTTTGTAGAAAATGACTAATGGAAAGGCCTTGTAAATGACTTTTTTTTTTAAATGACTCTTAATTCTGTTTGGCTAGAAAAAGAGTCTTTACAACCTAAAGGACAATTAAAAAAAGACTCATTGTTTTATTTTCCCAGATGTAGTTCCATTCACTCCAGTTATTCTTACCTAATAATTCTGGAGTATCTTATATTTGCTGGGTAGAAATTGCTTCCAACTGCAATATCTTACTTTTTGCTCTAGAGAATCTAATTGTTAATTAAAGGAAAATGAAGGAGGCTCTACTGATTCATAAAACTACTGGGATCATGAAATTTGTTGTCATACTGCCAGTATAGCAATTTTCATGGAATGATTTATATTTTAGAAACTTTCTAATTTGACTTCTACAAATGACAATTCAATATTTTAATTTTACTTTTTGTTTTTTGGTTAGGTATCGCATCAAAGATAAGGCAGACAGAGCAACTGTAGAACAGGTACAATTGAAACGTATTACATCTTCTTATTTTAAATTAGCCTTTATATTTTAATAGTAGTTTTTCCTTTCCATCTTTGAAAATACTTTGTTAAAACCATTTGTTTTTGTACTATTAAAATTTTAGGTCTGCATTTTGCTTGAATTTGTCAATAAGTGGATGATTAAAAGTCATAGTCCATCTGTAACCCTGTGAAGCCACCATACAGTGCATGTTCTTTTGCAGGGAAAAGATAGTCTCTATCTAGCAGTGTTACGTAGGTCTGGAAAATTTTTGTCAACTTTCCCCAATAGAGCATCTCACAAAGTGAGGGGAGTGCAGAAAAGGGATGAACAGGGGAAGACGTTAGGCCTTCAAATTTCCCATCAGGAATCTTTTTGTTTGCAGATACATGCTTGTCTTACTACTATTCAAGAATATGAAAACTTGGTCCCTGATTATTCCACTTGGAATCTCTAGGTGGATAAACAGATACCTTGAGAGATTTAGGCACTGGGCTCAGCGGCTTAGCACTCAGGCCATTAACCAACCAAGTTAATTGGTGTGACATAGTTAACAAAGACAGTGGTGAGTAGTGACAAGGATCTTAAAAGCTATTGAGTGACCATCTTAGGTGCACCTATTGTCGTTTCCCCTTCTTGAGGAAAGAAGAGTCAAGGAAACAACTAGTTTGAAACACTACTGAGACATATGAACCACCGCTTCAATTCCCTGAGACCAGAAGAACTGGATGCAAAACAACCATATCATCTCACCCCAGTAAGAATAGCAAAATTTAACAGAGCAGCACACAACAAATGCTGAGGAGGTTTTGGAGAAACTGGAACCCTTATTCACTGTTGGTGGGAGTGTAAAATGGTGCAATCACTATGGAAGGCTGTATGGCACTTTCTCAAAAAGTTGCAAATAGAAATACCATTTGACCCAGCAATTCCATTACTAGGAATACACCCTTAAGAAAGCGTAACTACCACCCAGGCAGATACATGCACACCCATGTTTATTGTGGCATTGTTCACAATAGCCAAGAGTTGGAAATAACCTAAGTGCCCGACAACAAACCAATGGATAGAGAAGCTCTGGTGTGTTCACACAATGGAATACTAAGGTCCTTGAAAAACAAGGAACTCATGCAATATTATTCAAAATGGGTCACCCTGGAAGACATTATGCTAAGTGAAATATCTCAGTTACAAAAGGACAAATACTGCATAGTGCCACTGTTGTAGAACAGGACTAACATCAGGGTTGGGGTGAGACTGAGAAAGATTGGATAAATTATGTATGCAGCATTGAAATAGATGAGGGAGAGAACTGTTTAAAAGCGATATATGATTGGGTTCCCATTCCAAAAAGGGTGACCCAGCTGAGTGTGGAAACTACAGAAAAATATCATTGATTTCACATGCAAGCAAGATTCTACTGAAGATTGTCCAAAAATGACTGGAACAGCACATCAGCAGAGAACTGCCGGAAGTCCAGACTGGGTTTAAAAGTGTTCGTGGTACTGGGGATATTGTAGCTGATGTTAGATGGATCTTAGCTGAAAGCAGGGAATACTAGAAGAATGTCTATCTGTGTTTCATTAATTATGCAAAGGCGTTTGACTGTGTGGATCAAACGGTGGCTGACTCTGAGAAAAATGGGAATCCCAGAACATTTAATCATGCTAATGCAAAACCTATACTTGGACCAAGAGGCAGTTGTCAGAACAGAGCAGGGCAACACTGCCTGGTTCAAAATTGGGAAGGGTATACGCCAGGGATGTGTCCTATCTCCATACCTTTTCAACCTGTATGCACAGCAGATTATCCGAGAGGCTGGGCTCCATGAGGAGAAGTGTGGCATCAGGATTGGTGGAAGATCTATTAACAGTCTGCGTTATGCAGATGACACAACCCTGCTTGCTGAAACTGAGGAGGCCCTCATGCACTTGCTGCAGAGGTTCAAGGACTGCAGCCTTCAGTATGGACTGAGGCTCAATGTCAAGAAGACAAAGATTCTCACCACTGGACCAATTGGCAGCGTCAGGATGGATGACGAAGAGATTGAGATTGTTCACAGCTTTAGTGTGCTCGGCTCCACGGTCAACATTCTTGGCACCAGCAGCCAGGAAATCAAAAAACATATCGTGATGGCAAAGTCTGCTATTAGGGACTTCTCTAAAGTACTCAAGAGCAACGGTGTCTCTCTGGAGAATAAGGTACGCCTGATACAGGCCATGATCTTTGCAATCACTTGTTATGCATCAGAGAGTTGGACAATGACTAGGGAGGATAGAAGGAGAATTTATGCCTTTGAGCTGTGGTGCTGGAGAAGAGTATTGAATGCACCCTGGACTGCCAAGAAAACAAATAGATTCATCCTGGAGAGGGTTAAACCAGGCTACTCCTTGGAGGCAAGGATTCTGGTGCTTCGTCTGACATACTTTGGACATGTTGCAAGGATCGACAGGTCTTTGGAGAGGGACATCATGCTGGGTAGGGTGGAGGGACAGCGCAGGAGGGGAAGACCCTGTATGAGGTGGATTGATTCGGTGACTGGGGTAATCGGGGTGGGAGTGTCAGAAGCAATGTGATTGGCACAGGATAGAGCAGGGTTTAGGGCTGTTGTACATAGAGTCGTTATGAGTCGCAAACAACTCGACGGCACATAACAACAACATTATGATTATGACAAGAGTCCAGAATGAAGGCTGCATAGAGGGTGGGGGGATGCAAATTGTATAACAATGAAGGAAATTTTCTTTTACTTTTCAAAGAGAAGAGCGAACTTGGGGTGGGGGATAGCCAGGGAGAAAAAAAGTACAACAATGAATGCATGGAAATCCAAAATCTCTGTAAACATTCATTAAAATGAATTAAAAAAAATAAAAGAACTGTATGGTGTTTGGCTGCCACAACGACCATTCTGATTGGAACCACAGAAGGTCTTGACTGAATAGGAGGAAAATACAGAACAGAAGTGTAAAAGAGACTAGACTTAGCTGCTCTGATGGAGACTGATGGAATTCCCGAGACTGCGGCCCTAAAATGCTCATTAAACCTGGAGCTGAATTGGCTCTCGGGGATCACTTTGCATCCAAACAGCAGAGCTGTGTCATGAACAACAGTCCTCACGAGGAATGTAATCATCAGATAATCAACCATATGAAACCAAAAGGACAGCATTTGCATAAAACAAAGCTCAAAAGGAAGGAAGGAATATGAGATACAAGAGAAGGAGAAATGGAAATGGGATACCCAGAGTGGAAACAGGAAGGAGTGCATTGAAGGAATTGCATCCTACATTGGGAAAATCTGCTCTCAGGGACCTGCACCTAATCCAGGCCTTGGTCTTCGCAGTTAACTTGCTTTGTATAAGAAGTTGGGCAATGACTAGAGATGATAAAAGGAGAATTGATGCCTTTGAGCTGTGGTTCTGGAGATGGACTGCTAGGAGAACTAATAGATTTGTCCTGGAGAGGGTAAAGCCAGGCTGCTCTTTGGAAGCAAGGGTTTTTTTTTTTTTATTTTGTTTGTGTGTATGTATCATCAAAGCAGATCCGACTGGTACAGGAGGAGATTGACTCCTTCTTCAGTGGAGCATCTAGTGGATTCAAACCGCACACTTTCAGGATTACAGCGCAGCTTCTTGCCACTAGACCACCAGAGGTCCCTCAGAGGCAAGGATTTTGAAACTCTGTCTGACATACTTTAGGCATGTTGCAAGGAAGGACCGGTCCTTGGAGAGGAACGGTGCAAGAGAGGAAGATCCTCAATGAGATGAATTGACTGACTGGGTAATGGGGTTAGGTGTGTCAGAGATAGTAGTTGGCTCAGAGAGATCAGGGCTCTTGGACATAGGGCCACTATGAATTACGAACAACTTGATGACAAATAACAACATTAGGAAACAGTGTGGTGTCTTAATGGTTGAATTGAAAAATCAATTTGCCCTATAATAATAAACTTTTATGCAAACCACAATTGAAAAGAATCCTTAGGTGGTATCAACAATTGAGCCCTCAGCTTTTTGAGGTTGTTATATTTGAACCTAGGTGGAGGTGGCCTGATGATCTACTTGCAAAGATTAGAGCTGTGAAAACTCTTTGGATCAGTTCTACTCTGCACACATGGGGTTGCCATGTGTCTAAAGTGACTCCATGGCAAATAGTGTTAAGAGTGAGTGTTAGCATTGACCCAGAATTTTTATGTGAAGGAAATGCTGAAAGGGGTCAGAGCATTGCTCTTCCTGACCCTCTCCCTCTCCCCTCCTCATAGAAATATACACAGACAAATTTTGGAATGGTTACCTCTTCAGCCTCAGCTTAAGTTATCCCCTTTTATCATCTAGTTCAGTCCCCATGAGAGTAACATCTCTACAGAAGCCAGAGCCATTTGTGCAGTTGAAGAATTCTATCTTAAGTCAGACAGAGGTGTGGGCTCTGTATCTTCATTGCCCTCTATTTTGTGGAATTTTTTGGGTTTTGTTTTTGTTTTTAAATAAAGCAGAGGCTACCTTAAACACAAAGCAGCAGTCTTAATTTTTCAAAGATCCTAAAATAAATTAGGGAGGCAGGCAATTTTTTTGTCTCTGGCCCAGAGTTGGCCAGCATTTGGGTGTTCCGGAAGGGTAAAATACTGAACGGTCAGGCCACGCCTAGTGTCTTGGGAGACTTAGTGTCGGCTGCATGTGGCCTCTGGCTTTTTGTGATAAGTGTTTGGTGGCGCTCCCTGGTTGAAACAAGCTTGGAAATAGGAGTGGCTTCCACTTCCGTAAATAGCTTGCCTCCAAAAGCCCTATGAACCTGGAGAGAGGATCAAAGTCATGTATGCAAGTGTTGAGGACTTTCATTCATAGGGTCACTGTGAGTCGCCTAGGACTCGACAGCACTTAACAACAACAGCAAATTTTGAGTAATAAATTATAATAATAAAGTGCCTATGTTGAGTTTTAAACTGCCTTTCAAAATTAAATTTGCTTACTATTTTTCTCTTCTTCCCCCTTTTATTTTAAGCCATTGTGGTCCGTTCTTGCTATTCTCCTAAGAAAGGTAGTTACTAATTTTGCAGTAGTGCAGGTGTTTACTTGTGTTCTTTCATTTAACTCACTCCTCTTTGTTTACTTGTTCAATAAAGAAGGGTTGGTAATGATTGTGCTTTTTCCTTCTCTACTTAAAATGGGTAGAGTGTGGTTTTAAGTTCTAGAGTCTCCCAGGGTTCTTTAGGTTTCTGTCTTGACTTGGAGGATAGACGTTAGAGTTAGCTAGTTTGGGCCAGCTTACCTTTGTTTCTTCATGGGCCGAGTTATACAGAGCTGCTACTCCTGGTGTGTCTTAAAATGACAAAAGACTTTGTTATTTCAGTGTTAGGATCAGACTTTAAATACACTGCCTTATATTTCTTAAAGATGACTTTGGAATCTTATTCTTAAACATGGCTTTGGAATGCTATTTATTCAAGATTGTCTACTTTGGCTTTGAAGAAACTTAGTAAGACTTAGTCATCTATAGTGTCAGCAGCCTTATTTGTTTAGAAGTAGTAAATATTTTATGCTTTGTGGCCCAAGTAAAGACTCCATTGAATATTCTAATTTTTCTTTTTTATCACTTTAAGAAAATGTCATGGCCATTCTTTGCTTGCAGGCAGTGGCCTGGATTTGGCCTGCAAGCTGTAGGGTGCTGACTGCTGGTTCCAGTACAGGAGCCACTGGCCAAATGTTGGTTGGTACTGAGCACCTAGAATGTGGCAAGTGTGCTATAAATGTAAAATACAAGACTTAGTATAAAAAGCGTAAATGAGTTCATTTTTTACATTTAAACACTACAGTGCTAATTTGTACATTATTGAATTATGTAAAAGATATTAAAATTCATTTTGTTTCTATCTCTTCCTCCTCTTCCATTCTGCCCCTGCTCCCCACCCTTACTAAAAAATTATTTCATTCTTATTAGCTGTTCTTTATCTAGGGTTGATTTCTCCCTCCCTTGACCTTTTGTTTTCTGTGACTCAATGAGCTTTTTGACTTGTTTATTTTTCTTTGGACCTTTGCTTACATTTTATTTGCTAATAGAATGAATTATTATACTACCTATACATGAATTATTTATCTTCAGAGTGACTGTGCTGACTAATGAGTACAGATGAGCTCAGTTTGCTTGTCATATGTACTAATGAGAAATAATTTGATCCCACCTTTCTGACTATTAATTCTGTGCATCTCTGTTTTAGGTGTTGGATCCCCAAACACGAATGATTTTATTCAAGATGTTGACTAGAGGTATCATTTCAGAGATGAATGGCTGTATCAGCACTGGAAAAGAAGTGAGCTTTTCTTTGAATGACTGAATGTTTCCATGTTAGTTTTCTTATTTCATATACCAAGTGGAAGTCAAGCACTTAATGAATTGTGCCTTCAAGGAGAAAAAGGTGGAAGATTCTTGTCATATTCAGATGGTTTATTAATTCAGTGTTTGTGCAAATGAGTTTATTGTTGGGACTAAGCAGGAAGTTTTGTATTTAATGACTTTTTGCCTTTACATTCAATGATTGTAGTGAATCATTAAGTCTAACTTAACTACTTAGGCCCAATATTTAGTTTAAATGATCAAGTTATGATAAACCTGAATCATAGTAAAAAAACCTTATTAATGGAAGCAGGGTGCTATTGTCTTATTTCTGAGTCAATGAGTATTTTTCCCCCCTTTTTAGATATGAGACTAGAGAAAGATAGAGTGGGGTTTTTTTATTAGTAACTAGTCACAGAGAAAGCAGTTCTTAGTACAGTTCACTTTCTAAATCATTAGATAGAATTCTTATGGTATACAACATTGGGAGTTGTGCTGCTGCTAACCCAATAGCCTGAGTTCACCAGTAGCTTCTGGGCAGAAGGATGGGCAGTCTGTTCCCTTGTGTTTTATCACATTGGAAGCCCAGTGGAGGCTTGGCTATGAGTTGGTTCCAAGTTCACAGCAAAGATAGTTTGAGATAGAAGAATGTCTTCAGATATTCTTCACATGTTTTAGATACCAAAAGAAGAATGAAAATACTTTTCTTTTTTTAAAGGAAAATGAAAATAGAAGAGGAAGGTGATCATTTTAAAGATATTCCACATCAGGGTAAATAGAATTCCTGACTTTTTGCTCAAGGAAATGGTCATAGAATCTCTGGAGATCCTGATTGTTGAGCCTATTTGACCTGAGGCTTTGGGAGGCAAAGAAAAGTGAAGTGCCTCCCTCTGGTACCTGGGCATTCATTGTTACCAGATTTTTTTAGATTCTTAGCATTGTATATGACCCAGTTTAGAATCAGAAAAAGTTAGTTGCCATTTTTCTTACTAGCTCTAGGACCTTGTCACTTGCTTTGAAGATTTAATCAGAGACTAAAAATTCCATTTGTACTTCTTTAATAACATTATAATTGTCTTTATTTTTTCACTTAAAATAGGCTAATGTGTACCATGCTAGTACAGCAAATGGAGAGAACAGAGCAATAAAAATTTATAAAACTTCTATTTTGCTATTCAAAGATCGGGACAAATATGTAAGTGGGGAATTCAGGTGAGCTCAGATATTTCCCCCCCACTATTACTTAGTTAAAAAAAAAATTTAATAATGGAATGGCTGAAATAACAAATGTTGTTCTTGTTCAAGGTTTCGTCATGGCTACTGTAAAGGAAACCCTAGAAAAATGGTGAAAACTTGGGCAGAAAAGGAAATGAGGAACTTAATCAGGTGACTACCTGGAATGTTGTGTGTCTGCTCTGTGCCCGTACTTGGATGCTTGCCTGTAGGCCCAGAGGCAGTTCTGCTCAAATGCAAGATGAGGGCCACTCAGTGTTGTTAGGTCTGGGCCATAGGGGCTCGCTTTGTCTTTTCAATTTTTAGCCCACGGTTTGGCCACATGTTTATATCCTTTGTTTATCCGGACACCTCTGTAGTGGGTAAAAACCTCTTAAACCCAGCTGAGATCAAGTTTCTCCAAATTTTTAAAATTTAGGGTTTTTTAAAAATAGTCTTTTATAAATAAGGTAAAATGTGCACACATATTACACGTTGAATATATTCATATTGATCAAACAGTACTTGTTTTCTAATTCTTTCTGAAATCGTCTTGTATTTAATCATTTGTTAGTTGTGAGTCCACCAATTTTATTAAGTGTTTTTTAAGTTGATCAACCTATAAGGTAACTGCAGATGTAGCTGTTGTATTTCTGCTTCTTAGATAGCCTTTTCTCTTTTACAATAGGCTAAACACAGCAGGAATACCGTGCCCAGAACCTATAATGCTAAGAAATCATGTTCTTGTCATGGGGTTCATTGGAAAAGATGACGTGTAAGTATATGAAAGAACTAGGAATTTTATGCTTAGAATGGTATTTTTTGAAAATATTTTGTAAATTTCTAATTTTTGGTACTTCTGAATTCTGATCGTCTGTAGGGCGTTGTGCTGCCCATCCTAAGACGGTGCCTTTGGTGGTTTGAATCCCCATGGGAAAGATAGGCAGTGCCTGCTAATGCAATTTACAGCCTTAGAAAACCCACTGGATGGTCAGCTATGAGTTGACTTTGATTTAGCAGCAATGATTGAGTTGAATTTTTGTAACTGGATAACATTGAGAAGAATGGGAATCCCAGAACACTTAATTGTGCCCATATAAAACCTATATCTGGATCAGGAAGCCATTGCTTGAATAGTGCAAGGGAATACAGCATGGTGTAAAATCAAAAAGGTGTGCATCGGAGTTAAATCCTTTCCCCCATACCTGCTTGATCTCTATGCTGAACAAATCATTCAAGAAGCTGGACTTTATGAAGAAGAATGTGACATCAGGATCAGATGAAGACTCGTCAACAACCTGCATTATGCAGATGACAAAATCTTACTAAAAAGTAAGAAGAACTTGAAGTGCTTGCTGCAAATGATTAAGGACTATAACCTTCAGTATGGATTACATCTCAAAATCAAGGAAACAGAAAGGCCTCACCACCAGGCCAGTAGGCAACAGCGTAATAGGTGGAGAAAAGGTAGAAATTGTTGAGGGAGGAAATTGTATAACAGTGAATGAATATTTATTTTTTGGGGGAAAAAAAAAAGTGAAGGCAGGGAGGAAATGTGTAACAATGAATGAATGAAAGTCAAACTTTTCTGTAAACTTTCATCAAAATTACAATTAAACTCTTAAAAAAAATAGAAATGGTCAATTTTTATCTTATTTGGATCCACAATCCACCCTTGGTATCAGCAGTCAGGAAATCAAAAGACAGGTTGTGTTGGGAAAGGCAGCAGTCAAGGACCTCTCCAAAATTCCGGCAAGCAAGGATGTCAGTTTAAAGACTAAGGTCTGCCTAATCTAAGCATGGTCTTTTCACTTACTTGCAATGCATCTGAGAGTTAGACAGACAGATGAAGAATCAATGCTTTTGAGTTACGGTGCTGAAGAAGAGCATTAAATATCCCGTGGACTGCCAAGAGAATAAACAAATGTCTTGGAGAGAGTGCAGCCTGGATGCACCTTAAAGGGGAGGACAGTAAGATTCTGTCTCACATACGATGTTGTTAGGAGGGGCCAATCAGAGTATGACATCTTGCTGGGGAAATCAAAGGAGGGAGAGACTTTCAGTGAGCTACATTGACACAGTGACTGCAGTATGGGCTCCAGTGTGATTGAGATCATGAGGATGGCACAGGACCGGCTGGGGTTCACATGTGAAGTTCATAGTGTCACTATGAGTTGTACTTAAATCTACGGCATCTAACAACAAAATGTTTGTATCTATAAGGAGAAGGCTGCTATATCAACGGCTGCCCCTCCAGCGGCGCTTGATACTGATTGATGGTCAGTCTCTTCCTGTGCAGTTTACAGCCTCAGAAATCGAGTGGAGGGGCCATTAGGAGTTAGGTCCAACTCCATGGCAATGAGATTGAGTTTGATTTTGTTTAAATTATACAACATATTAGTATTCTCCACTGAAAAACTCCTTTCATTTTTTAATGCGTAAATTTTATTAGTTTATTCTACTGGCTTTAGTCTCAGTACCTGAGAATAACACATTTAATCCTGTTTTGGGGGTCTGAGTTATGTAGGAAGTTAAGAAAGCATCACCTGATTTTGACCAACTTTTAAAATAGTTCGTAGTGAGACAAGTTGTTCTACCTATAGTTCACATGATGAGTTGTAGAAGAGAAGTGCATGTGATAATCTAGTACAGAGGACGAAGACTTCTTTCAGGTCAGTTTATCTGAGTTCTTTTTATTTAAGGCCGGCACCGCTCTTGAAAAATGTTCAGTTATCAGAGTCCAAGGCTCGGGAGTTGTATCTGCAGGTCATCCAGTATGTGAGGAAAATGTACCAGGATGCTCGTCTTGTTCATGCAGATCTCAGTGAATTTAATATGTTGTAAGTATATGTTGTCCCTCAGAGACCCCTCTGTTCTTGTTTCATAGACTTTGAAAATATAAACAAAATTCCAGTGGAAAATCATGCTAATTATTTTTATTTTTATTTTTTTTTGTTGGTTACACTTTAATACATCAGATGGGCTTTGGGGGACAGTGGCCAGGACATTGCTGAGTTCTTCTCGCTTCCTCTTGGCGCGGATGTGTGTCCCCACCCTTTTCTTGATGAACTTGAGGGCCCGCTTGTCTTTGGAGACCTTGAGCAGCTCCATGGCGCAAATCATGCTAATTTTAAAGTTTGATGTTGGCTTCTAGCCAGTAGCAGTATAAAATCTTTATTTTTAATGAGTTTAGTCACAGAATTGACTACTTTGATCCTTAACAGAGTTCATGAAGCTGGGAATTTTCTCAGTTGTCATTTTTATTAGAATACCCTATTTTCATTATCGCTTTTGCCATGTTACTAATTATTTCCTATATTTCTAAGTATAAAAGCGTTTTTAAATACAGAAGGTATGAAAGTAATACTATTCATTTCCTTCTGATCACAAGGTATCATAATGGAGATGTGTACATCATTGACGTGTCTCAGTCTGTGGAGCATGACCACCCACATGCCTTGGAATTCTTGAGAAAAGACTGTGCCAATGTCAATGGTGAGTGGAACCTGCAATTTTCTAACGACTTATTTATGTGTGTTGTTTCTGTGCTCAGTTAAACTTAGCCCTAAATTGCCAGGTGTGGTGATAGCATTTGCTAAGAGATGGTATATTTTTTTATCTTAGGTACTTAGAATGATAACCATTTTCCTTATCACCTTAACACTAACATATTTCCTTCTGACAGATTTTTTTTTTAAACACAACATTGCTGTGATGACTGTGCGGGAGCTCTTTGAATTTGTCACAGATCCATCAATTACACACGAGAACTTGGACGCTTATCTCTCAAAGGTTAGATGGGGAAAAAAATAGGAAGGGGAAAAAAAGAGAAGATAGTGATAATTTGCATTTGTATGCCACTTCTGAGAACCTCAGATAACTCAGCATAAATTTTACTCATTTTAACAGCTTCCTAAGATCTTCCTAAGATTTCTGATTTCACAGGTTAGGGAATAATAATAAAAAAAATACAGTGAAGCAGTCTTTGGTAAAACTACATTTCTAGATTTAATTATCTGACTAGATTATATAGCTTGTCAAACTGTGGACTGTTTCATGAAAAATCTTCCAGCTTTTAGGACTTGTATTTCCTTCCCTGTCTGCATCATAAACCTGTGACCATGTGGCAGCTGTGCCCAGACAGATTTTTCTGGTTTTCTCATAACTTCTGTCCCTTTCTCCATGGAATATCTTCTCATTTCAACCCTAGTGTATTTTTTTTGTCTGCCCACTAGCTTTACAGGTCTGTTAAGAAAGCTTTCTTGGCATGTAGTCAGGCAAAAAAATCATTGTTTCCATGGACATATGTTCCTATTATAGATAAAATAAAGATAGGCCTGACAGCACAGGGGTTAAAGCACTATGGATCCAAACCACCAGTGGCTGTGTGGGAGAAAGATTTGACAGTTTGCTTCTTTAAAGGTTATCAGCCTTGGAAACTCAGTCCTGCAGGGTCACTGAGAATTAAAATTGGTGGTGCATTAGTTAAACAATTGGTTGCTAATTGAAAGATGGACAGTTTGAACCCTGAAAATGACTCCATAGGCTCAAACATGGCAAACTGATCCTGCGATGGCAATAGCCTAGAAGACCCTGTCTGCAATTCTGCCCTGCTGCATGGGGTCTTTATGAGTCAAAAATTTACAAAGTCAATTTTCTTACACTCTGCTAGTCTGAACCGTTAAAGGAGAAGAATTCTATTTATTCTTATGTTACTCTTACTTCATCAGTATCTGCTGCATGAGTTAATTGAGAGAGACTTCTTTTTATTTTTTAGTCCTTTAGTTTAACACTAGTTTTAGGCTCTAGACTTAAAAATAAAACAAAAATCCTACTATTGCTGTATTTTCCTTTCTTTTTATTTTAGTAACTAGAGAGTAAATCTTGATTTTTATGTTTACTACAAGCTGGAAGAACCCTTTGACATCTTTCTTACCCTTTTTGTTTTCATCATTAGTTTTTGAGACCTCGCTTTTTTCCTTTATACTGCAGTATAGCCTTTTCCTTCATACTGCAGGCCGCACACTCGAGTACACGTACTCAAGAAAGGATTCTTTTATTTCGAGTCTTAGTTATTAGAAAGATTTTTCTAATCATTTAAAAATTAGTATATGTAAAGAGTTGGAAAACAACCTAAGTGCCCATCAACAAAAAAATGGATAGAGAAGCTATGGTGTATTCACACAATGAAATACTACGCTGCATTGAAAAACAAGGAACTCGTGCAATATTATTCAAAATGGGTGACCCTGGAGGACATTATGCTGAGTGAAATATCTCAGTCACAAAAAGGCAAATACTGCATAATGCCACTGTTGTAAAATGAGACTGACATCGGGGCTGGGGAGAGACTGGGAAAGATGGGATAAATTATGTATATTGCATTGAAACAGATGAAGGAGAGAAAGGGATATATGATTAGGTATTATTGTCATGACAGGAGTCCAGAATGAAGGCTGCCTAGTGGAGTGAACTTGGAGGGAAGGATTGTTTAACAATGAAAAAATTTTTCTTTTACTTTTCAAAGTGAGGAGCGAACTTGGGGAAAGTTTGGGCAGGGAGAAAAGTGCGACAATGAATGAATGGAAATCCAAAGTCTCTGTAAACTTTCATTAAAATTAATTAAAAAAATTCATTTAGGTTTTAAAAAAATTAAAAAAAGAAAAAAGAAATGTAGAATGACTTTGTTGGGGCTAGGTATGCCCATACTTTTGGATTGATTACAGCATTAACTGATGGAGTTGGTGATGGACCAATACCCTTAGCTCACAAGAAATAACTAAGGACTTTCTTTGAGAACTGTAGAAGTGATAACTGAAAAAGATTAGAGCAAATTTATATTAAAACTGAAAGATCAAACTATCTGTGGGTTGAATGTAAAGGGAGGTAATTTTTGTTTTCTTTCTAAGGCCATGGAAATAGCATCTGAAAGAACTAATGAAGAAAGGTCTCACCAAGACCATGTGGATGAAGAAGTAAGATTTATCATTTGTTCACATTCTTTAGAAACACATTTTATTTATTATTATTTTTTTTATAGGCATAAATTTGACTTTTATATAAGCAGTGTGTTTTTTGGTGTGTGTGTGTGTGGTTTTGTTTTTTGGGGTGGTTTTTTTTTTGTTTTGTTTTTTTGGGGGGATGAGTAGTGTTTTTGAAATTATAGTATTTCCTTTACACTTAAAATATGACACAATCCTAACTCTACCAAGAAGTTTAATTTACCAAGATGTTTAATTTACATTTTATTCCACTATTCCACCTAGTAATAGGCTAGTGTCCTAGAAAGGAAATTTATTTAAAGAACCTGTTGGGATTTCGGAGTCTCTGAGTGAGGATGAAAGACTAGTGGTCCCAATCCAGACATCACCTGGAGCTATCAGGCGAGCAGTTGAGGAACTAACCTGGCAGGAGAAAGGC